GTTCCCTGTCAACCTGTCTGTAACAGTAACTGACAGCTTCTGTCCAGCAACTGGGACATCTCTATCAATAATTAAAGTGCATCCTTCATATCATAATAAGCTGGCAACATTTACAATCAATCCTGGACTATTGGACTTCCCACACAGTACAGTGAAATATAATTGATCATTAAGCTATTCTTAAAGAAACATACTCTGATGAAAGCTGTTAGCTTACAGCTGATTAAACAAATTTAATGCTACATACTTTGAAAATGTTGTTTTAACATACCATAATATACATCATAGGTATAAATCTATGTATCAAGTATTTCACTGTGGTATATATGTAATTATATTCAAGGGGTATATGAGAATGTGTGTAGTCCTATTTGTAGTGGTATATATGTGCTAAATGTATGAAGATATATGTATATATGTATATAATGTACGGTACAGTGGTATTAGGTTTTATCATATGTTGTTTGTATGTGTGTACATACATTGTATGTAGGCATATATAATGGTATATGTGTAGCAGTATATATGTAAGCATAACTGTGTAGAAATACATGTGTGGTAGTATATATGAAGCAGAATATACAAGTTTATCAGTATATGTGTGTAGAAGCATATGTGAAATGGTAGATGTGTAATGGTAAATTTTTAGTAGTATATCCAGTGGTATGAGTATAGTAGTATGTGTAGTGGTATATGTGTAGTGGCAGATGTTTAGTGGTATATGATCAGTGGTATACCAGTGGTATATTCAGTTGTATGTGAGTATAGTGGTATATGTATAGTAGTATATGTGTAGTGGTAGATGTTTAGGGGAATACCAGTGGTATATTCAGTTGTATGTGTGTATAGTGGTATATCTGTAGTATTAAACATGTAGTAGTAGATGATTAGTGGTATACCGGTGGTATATGTAGTTGTCTGTATAGTTGTATATGTGTATATCGGTATACATTGTATGTGTATAGTGGTACATGTGTAGTGGTAGATGTTTAGTGGTATATGATCAGTGGTATACCAGAGGTATATTCAGTTGTATGTGTGTTTAGTGTTATGTGTGTATATAGTGGTATGTGTGTATAGTGGTATGTGTGTATAGTGGTATGTGTGTTTAGTGTTATGTGTGTATAGTGGTATGTGTGTATAGTGGTATGTGTATAGTAAAATATGTGTAGTGGTATATGATCAGTGGTAGACCAGTGGTATATTCAGTTGTATGTGTGTATAGTGGTATATGTGTAGTAGTATATGTGTAGTGGTAGATGATTATAGTGGTATACCGGTGGTATATTTAGTTGTATGTCTGTATAGTGGTATATGTGTATAGCGGTGTGTGTATAGTGGTATGTGTAAAGGAGTTTGTGTGTAGTGGTATGTGTTAAATGGTATTTGTATAGTGGTGTGTGTGTGTGTGTGTATAGTGATATGTGTGTATACTGGTTAGTACTGGTATGCATGTAGTGGTATATGTATAGTGGTATATGTGTACTAGTATATGTGAAGTGGTATATTTTTAGTGGTATACCAGTGGTATATCTAGTTGTATGTGTGTATAGTGGTATATGTGTATAAGTACACATGTGGAGGGGTATGATTTTATGTTTGTGTATGTGCCAATAAACATACACTTACAATAACTATCACTGCCTGTAAACCCTGGTGACACTAAATAATCAAACAACAAAATTGATTTTTTTTTATTCTGACATCATAATGACATGGTGTGCACATATGTCAAAATATCAATTTCACAAACTCAAATTGTATAACATTGAGATCAAAAATTGTCAGATTTTATAACCAGAAAAATCATTTACAGACTTCATCTTCATTGAGATCTATTAAGTGTATCTGTTAATTAATCTACAAATATAATATTAGTTTGTGTGAGGGATTATGTATATAGTGTACATGTATACTGGTGTGTGTGTGTGTGTGAGGGATTATATATATAGTGTACATGGTATGTGTGAGGGATTATATATATTGTGTACATGGTATGTGTGAGGGATTATATATATAGTGTGCATGGTTTGTGTGAGGGATTATACATAAAGTGTACATGGTGTGAGTGAGGGATTATATATATATAGTGTACATGGTTTGTGTGAGGGATTATATATATATAGTGTACATGTATACTGGTATTGGGGATTATATATATATATAGTGTACATGTATACTGGTGTTGGGTATTATATATATATAGTGTACATGTATACTGGTATTGGGGATTATATATATATATAGTGTACATGTATACTGGTGTTGGGGATTATATATATATAGTGTACATGTATACTGGTGTTGGGGATTATATATATATAGTGTACATGTATACTGGTGTTGGGGATTATATTTATATATATATAGTGTACATGTATACTGGTGTTGGGGATTATATATATATAGTGTACATGTATACTGGTGTTGGGGATTATATTTATATATATATAGTGTACATGTATACTGGTGTTGGGGATTATATATATATAGTGTACATGTATACTGGTGTTGGGGATTTTATTTATATATATATAGTGTACATGTATACTGGTGTTGGGGATTATATATATATAGTGTACATGTATACTGGTGTTGGGGATTATATTTATATATATATAGTGTACATGTATACTGGTGTTGGGGATTATATATATATAGTGTACATGTATACTGGTGTTGGGGATTATATTTATATATATATAGTGTACATGTATACTGGTGTTGGGGATTATATATATATAGTGTACATGTATACTGGTGTTGGGGATTATATATATATAGTGTACATGTATACTGGTGTGGGGGATTATATATATATATATATAGTGTACATGTATACTGGTGTTGGGGATTATATATATATATATATAGTGTACATGTATACTGGTGTTGGGGATTATATATATATATATATAGTGTACATGTATACTGGTGTTGGGGATTATATATATATATATATAGTGTACATGTATACTGGTGTTGGGGATTATATATATATATATATAGTGTACATGTATACTGGTGTTGGGGATTATATATATATATATATAGTGTACATGTATACTGGTGTTGGGGATTATATATATATATATATAGTGTACATGTATACTGGTGTTGGGGATTATATATATATAGTGTACATGTATACTGGTGTTGGGGATTATATTTATATATATATAGTGTACATGTATACTGGTGTTGGGGATTATATATATATAGTGTACATGTATACTGGTGTTGGGGATTATATATATATAGTGTACATGGTATGTGTGAGGGATTATATATATATAGTGTACATGTATACTGGTATTGGGTATTATATATATATAGTGTACATGTATACTGGTGTTGGGGATTATATATATATAATGTACATGGTATGTGTGAGGGATGATATATATATAGTGTACATGCATACTGGTATTCGGTATTATATATATATAGTGTACATGTATACTGGTGTTTGGGATAATACATATATAATGTACATGTATACTGGTGTTGGGGATTATATATATATATATAGTGAACATGTATACTGGTGTTGGGGATTATATATATATATATATAGTGTACATGTATACTGGTATTGGGTATTATATATATATAGTGTACATGTATACTGGTGTTGGGGATTATATATATATATAGTGTACATGTATACTGGTGTTGGGGATTATATATATATATATATAGTGTACATGTATACTGGTGTTGGGGATTATATTTATATATATATAGTGTACATGTATACTGGTGTTGGGGATTATATATATATAGTGTACATGTATACTGGTGTTGGGGATTATATTTATATATATATAGTGTACATGTATACTGGTGTTGGGGATTATATATATATAGTGTACATGTATACTGGTGTTGGGGATTATATTTATATATATATAGTGTACATGTATACTGGTGTTGGGGATTATATATATATATATATAGTGTACATGTATACTGGTGTTGGGGATTATATATATATAGTGTACATGTATACTGGTGTTGGGGATTATATATATATATTATATAGTGTACATGTATACTGGTATTGGGTATTATATATATATATATATAGTGTACATGTATACTGGTGTTGGGGATTATATATATATATATTATATAGTGTACATGTATACTGGTGTTAGGGATTATATATATATAATGTACATGGTATGTGTGAGGGATGATATATATATATATAGTGTACATGTTGCTGGTGTTGGGGATTATATATATATAGTGTACATGTATACTGGTGTGGGGGATTATATATATACACTACTAAGTTTCTGTGAGCACTTTAGCCCCCAACATCAATAAATAAGTGCATATTGTAATAATAGCTTGCGGTTCTGGCCTACTAGGTATATTTTTAGCCTTATCTACATCACTTGAGTTACCTAAGGAAGAAGGATGTCAGTAGTATTTTATTTACATTTACAATTAATGAAAAACGCTGTTTTAATACACCTTACATCTGTGACTAGTACAGCAGGATCGACCGCATTCACCAACTGGTGGGAACATATGTTTGGGTATCTGACGATGAATTTAATTTGTTTGTACTTGCGGAGTGCTTGCTCTCCACCCCCACAAGTTAAATGAGTACGTCCCCGCACGTTCTACAGAGACCGTAGAACGGTATCACACAGGGGAGATGCTATAAATTTAGACCTCAATAAAAACTTCAAGGTCAGAATTATCTGATGTAAACATTGGAGGGTAAAAACCAAAACATTACATTATAAAAAACATTTAATGTTAAATGTAACGTAAGTACTTATAAATGCTATAAATAAAAGCAAACATTCGATTTTTTTCAAGGTCACATCCGTTAATAATCAGGCAAATATACCGATTATGGTATCATCAAATATCATATATTAATAACACACGTATTATATTTCCCACAAATGACACACATGTGATATAGATGTACACATGTAACACACACCCTTACCCCCTGTAGATCGCTAGGCACTTACCTTCAGGTAGACGTTAGCCATGGTGAGTTCCGTCTCCACAATCATCAAAACTATACCTCCCATCCCAAACACAAGACAATAGTCCGAGATTTTTCTCCTCCGCTCGTACAGTGTTTTCCTTTTCCCCAGCCTGTATCCAACCGGATTAGGTTTACTGCTTTTAGTCTCCGGCTGTTGTTTTTGTTCCATACCATATTTCCCTAGCTCACTGTTCACCCCGACCAGAGCAGCCCCTGCATCTTCAGACGTGTAGCTCATTTTTGAGGATGTCGGAAGGGACTGCATTGATGTGGGTTTTTGCAGTTGTTTAAATGACCCAATGGCTCCGTTAACTCGCATGTAGTCCGCTCCAATATCGGATAAGATGGTGGACTCTTTTCCCTTTCCGTGACGTGCATCTTCCGATCTGCCATCATCAACGTGAGGCCTTCCCTCCTCGTCTGAGGAATGCTGGTGCAGTCTATCTATGTGTGAGCGAGACTGGGAGTTGGTACTCATACTCGCTGTGCTGTTATTGGTGTCAGCTTGTTGACTACTCTGTTCTGACGTTTTGTGCTGGTTGTTGTGTTGTTGTTGGTTGTTGTTGAGGGGCACATTCTGTTGTTGTTGCTGATGGTGTTGATGTTGTTGCTTTTGTTGTTGTTGTGGTTGTTGATGTTTGTGGTTATGGTGGTGGTGATGGTGGTGGTGTCTGTTCGATTGCTCAGGTGGTGTACTAGAACGGTTTTCAACGGGTGCCGGAAACGTGTAGTTCTGTAGTTCAATGTCCGGTGAGGTATAAGCCTTGTTAATTTTTCCATCTATACCATGACCGGAACTACTTAAAGACGAGGTATCAAAGTTCCGAGAGTCATCATTCTCCATTTCATCTTCATTTTGATCGCGTGTGTTGGGCAGGCTGCGGAGCCTGGCATTGTTTGTGATCTCCGTCGGCTCAGCAAATGCGACTGCGGCGTTCTGCCTTAGCAGCTGTTCAGTGGAATCGATTCGTCCCTTTTCATTGGCGGGTTCGACGTTCACCACCGCTGACATAGTTAATACGACGAGCTAGTTTGCTAGCATATCGATTTTCGGTACCTTTCCCATTAAACGCTCTGTAATGAGGTACTATGGCTCGTCATTACTAACACCCAATGGCGACGTCACCCAACAACAGTCGCATTGTCTTTGAAGTTATTTCAGTCGTCGATTTTTTGGGGGTTTTTTTCGAATCACATTAATGGTTTTAACTTTTGACTTGCAACTAAATATTGAAATCTGCACAAATATCCTTTTTGCAATCACTTTCCACTGAAAAAATAACGGGTTTTTTTTCCGTGTAGGAAAACCTTTTTAACGTTTTTAAACTGCTCCTCAAAACTGATTTTCAACTGGCGTGTTTTCCTAGCTTATATGGGTCGACGTTTTGGCACAGGTTTGACGGAGTCAAGTAAGTTATCAGAGTAGGCGCGTGATGTTGTTTTATAAATAGATAGAGGCATAGGTGAGGTCTATCGGTGTCTTCGTTACAGCACACTCAGTCTCTGAAAACAAAACATACAAATTACTCATTGATGCTTTCTGGGAGAATTCGATGATATATGTCCCTCAGGTACAGACAAATATACAAGTGTTCGTGATCAAAAGTTACGCCTTCTTTTGTTGTGTTTGTGTCACTTTAAAAGTATAATTCATTCACTGCATTTTAGGTTGTTTTTTATCCCCCAAGTAGTTGTACATTTGTTGATTTGTCCTGCTATCAGTTATTTCTCTCTTTTTCTATAATTGCTTTTGTTTGTTTGTCAACGCAACTAGTTGTATAATTGTTTTTCCCGCTATTATCTGTTAATTTGTTTATTCCTCAAGTATTGGTTATTTACCATTTTTTGCGCTTTGTACTGGCGATGGTGAATCTGAAATTAGAATTTGTTTAAACAACTTTTCCAATTCACAGAATGATAAGTCTAACAAGAACGTAGCATCTAAGATAACAGTAGAGTGAATGTCAAAAAAATATAGGATGACAGTTTGACAAAACTTATGTGCACTTTTCCATGTTGTTTTCATGTATAATGAATGTGGCCCACATTAGGTGAAAACGACGCAATCTTGATTGGTTTAATTTACTCGAAATAAATGTAATCAACATTATTACGATATGTTAAAACATGTATAAATAAAGTCACAAGATACCTTAACTATGGGGGGTTCAGCCCCCAATGTGTCACTTTACTGTTTCAGGCCCCGATCGTGTGTGTGTTTGAGTAGTTTGGCTACTCCGTAAAGTGTGCATTATGACATGTACTCAACATCTCTGCAAACATAAAAACAAGATATTGTGTTCTAATACACAACTGATATCCAGTTACGAAGATCTGGAATGTTACCCCGTTCGCCCTTATAACGTTATGGGTATACAGGTAAATACCAAGGAATTGTTCACAGTCCATTAGCTATTCGACCCGAGCCAGCGCCCACCACTACTAAATTCAAGCACGAAGACGGTGACTGATGATCCGGATCATGTGTACTTCTTTAATGATCAGAGCGATTGATAACAGCATGGAATATGTACACCTAGATGCGAACAATATATGACCCATATATCTGCAGGGGAGGGGGTAAGGGGTCCCGGGTTAATTACGTTCACAGGTACTTGTTACAAATAGAAGATATTCCAACTTAATTGGGATTTCTATTTATTCAACTCAATGATCTGTAAGATAGAATGTATTGAAGTCACCCGATCCAGTTCTAATAGGTATATGCTATGGAAGTAAATTAAATAATAACATCTTATATTTCTTATTTTGTGGTTATTTATTTCTTTCTTTCGTTAATATAATGCAAATTTGATCTATAAGAAACCGGAGTTTGCATGCACATTAGAACCTCGTTAGTCCGGACACTTTGGTTAATGTGTACAGTGAAACCTTGCTAGTCTGGACATTTTGTTTTGTATGTAAAGTGAAACATTATTAGTCTGGACATTTTGGTTTGTGTGTACAGTAGAGCCACGTTAGTCTGGACACTTTTGTTTGTATGTACATTATAACCTCGTTTGTCTGGACACTTTTGTTTGTGTGTAAAATAGAAAACAAAAATGTCTTCACAGTTTAGTCTGTGTGTACAATATGACCTAGTTAGTCTGGGCACTTTCGTATGTGTGTACAGTAGAACCTTAATAGTCTGGACACTTTCGTAAGTGTGTAAAGTAGAACCTTGTTGGTCTGGACTGTTTAGTTTGTTTGTACAATAGAACCTTGTTAGTATGGACACTTTGGTATGTATGTACAGTGGAACCTTGTAAGTATGGACACTTTGGTTTGTGTGTACAGTGGAACCTTGTTATTCTGGAGACTTTGGTTTGTGTATACAGTGGAACCTTGTTAGTCTGGACACTTTGGTTTGTTTGTACAATAGAACGTTGTTAGTCTGGACACTTTGGTTTGTTTGTACAATAGAACCTTGTTAGTCTGGACACTTGTTTGTGTGTACAGTAGAACCTTGTTAGTCTGGACACTTTGGTTTGAATTTACAATAGAACCTTATAAGTATGGACACTTTTGTTTGTGTGTTCAGTGGAACCTTGTACGTCTGGACACTTTGGTTTGTGTGTACAGTGGAACCTTAATAGTCTGGACACTTTCGTAAGTGTGTAAAGTAGAACCTTGTTGGTCTGGACTGTTTAGTTTGTTTGTACAATAGAACCTTGTTAGTATGGACACTTTGGTTTGTGTGTACAGTGGAACCTTGTAAGCCTGGACACTTTGTTTTGTGTGTACGTACAGTGGAACCTTGTAAGTCTGGACACTTTTGTTTGTGTGTACAGTGGAACCCTGTAAGTCTGGACACTTTTGTTTGTGTGTACAGTGGAACCCTGTAAGTCTGGACACTTTTGTTTGTGTGTACAGTGGAACCTTGTAAGTCTGGACACTTTAGTTTGTGTGTACAGTGGAACCTTGTTAGTCTGCACAGTTTGGTTAGTGTGTATAATAGAACCCCGTTAGTCCGGTACTTTGATCTCTGTGTACAGAGAAACCTTGTTAGTCAGAACTTTTTGTAAAAAAAGTCAGAGATAATATTTTCAGGATCACTGCCAATAAAACATTAATTAAAATGCGATTTCAAGATATTCGAATTTTTTTTTTTGGCGATAGCGAACACGATAGCCAGATACCGATAGCGTTTTTTGGTATAAATATATTTTTTTGTTCTGCTTTTAATGGCACAATCGGTCTAGCGACAAACTGTCTCTACTAAACAGCACCCTAGAGATACTTCTAAAAATAATTCACAAATGCAAATAAACAGCGATGTTTCTATCTGCATCTAAATATGTTTGAAAGGATCACCACATATTATTGCGGATTTCAAACTGGTGTGACAAAAAAATATAAAATTGTTTGTCTTTGAAAGTAGTTACGTACAAAGTACAGTATATATATGTGCATTTGTTTTATTATCTGTACTTTAGCATTTGGCATAATGAAACGTCAAGGGATATGTACGCTGTTCAGCAATGGTATGTCGCTTGTCTACATGTATAGCCTATACATCTAATTTCCCTGGATACTCTTTACTGGTTGACAGTGAACTGATGGCCATTGGTCCATTGGTGCAGCCTTAAAATGCGTCCATCAACGGTTGCGCCCGGGGAACAGCTACACAGGACCGTTATTCAGGGGCTGGTGACTCATTCAGCTAGGACATGTTTGTAAATTATATAATGTATATTATTAGACGCGTATACTGCTAGTGTGAAAATATTGGCGGTGTTTACCTTTATTTTTCTACCTTCGCCTCTATCAAATTGTCGAAATCCACGTCAAAATGACAGCCTATCTAAGTACAAGATTGTGATTTGCCTGAATGAAACTTTGCTATATTAAAAAGTCAAGTTTATTTAAAATAATATAAGAGTGAAAAGGAAAGAAGTACCAAAGTCAGCAAAATGTATAAGAACTGTCGATACTTCACAGTTTATAAAACTTTTCTCAAGACATATTGAGGTTCATACCCAATAAACAACAACAGAACATGATTCAACCTGAAATGAATTTCTACTGAATGCATTTGAAAACAAAGAAAATATCAAATGTTGATCCGAAAAAAGTTTGAGTGGTTTGTGTGTGAATATATCGAAACAAAGAGTTGAAGAGTAAGGCGGAGATCGGTGCTAAACCCCTATTATACCCAACGTACTATAATTTCAAAATTTAGAGACGAAACAGAAATTAAAAAAATGAAACTAAAATACAGCATGGTAACAAATCATAGTAATTATGTAAAAACCAGAGATTATTTTAACCCTATTTGTCAGTTAAAATCTGACCCTTGTTTCCGCTACATGCATATATTGTTTCACGCGGTGTACAGGGTGATCGGTCGCCGGTCGATAAGTCACACTCATCAATCGCTCATTATCGATGACCGCCGCATCTAAATCAAAATCACGATAACGTTGAATTATTGCATTAAGGAATTCTTGTTATTTCTCTATATATAGAGTACAGTTGACTGCATTAGGTCGAACGATTTTGTGTATAAAATAGAACCTTGTTAGTCCGGACACTTTGGTTTGGGTATACATTATAACCTTGTTAATCCGAGCATTTTAGTTTATGTGAACATGCGA